CAAATTAAGAATCCCATAACTATTTCTCCAGCTACTGAAAATGGGGATAATTAATTAATCCTACAGATTTCTCTATATCCATCAGAGGCTCTCTTTGTTCCAAAGTACATTTGAATTTTAATATTCAAGGAGAGGACTTTTTTCTCCTGGTAAACATGGAGCCAAGGTTTACAGATAGATATGTTACAATGCAATCTTTAAAGCAGCATGTCCACTAGAAGGACACAGGATTATACTGTAGTTACATTTAAAAAAATCCTGCAGTAAACTGCATCCTCTTGATATTTGCTTTATCAGAGACTGTGGCAGAGGGATGCTGCTATCTGCAGAAGGTATTGGCTGAAGAGCCGTAGGCCAGGCTGGGGCCTGGATGTACTGATGGCCATTTGGCCATTTAGCAGATCACCAGGCAAATGACACTGCAGTTTTCTAATGTCAGTCCTCCCTGGCTGGGTCCTGATGCTTAAAAGAAGGAAGCAAGGTTAAACAGAAATTAGCAAATTTTGTGTAATTTTGCTAATTACAGCTTATATTGATATTTCACCTGATCAAAGAAATAGTGCTGAATCTCTCTAAAGAAGCCCCCAAAACTCCCTAGACCAGCTGCATTTTTAGTGAGTGAGGTTCAGATGGACAACTTAGGATGTCTTTTTATTGAAGGCTGCCCCAAAATCATGTTCTGTGACCTTGCAGAAGTGGCAAAATGGTAGATTTCAGGAGTGCTTATTGTTATAATTTGTTGAAAATAACTGTTTCCCCAGATACGCTCAGAAGAGGACATAGTGGAGCTCAGACACTCTTCTATACCAAAATATCCATGGGGGACTGTAGACCATGCTTTTCTTCTTTTAAAGGGGTAGTTAAAACATAGGCTTTGCCCTAGCCAGTGGACTGCTTATTGGTTTCTTTCTAAAGTTTATGAATGTTAATGATTTCATTAAAGCATCCATTTTTTAAATCTGGTTAGAGAACTGATTTTTGGTAAAGTGGAGATTCTCTATAAATTAAATCTGATGCATGGTTAATTCGGCCAGTGATCCCTGACATAAAATGTAAGAAAGACATAAAATGTATTATTACTGCGTCCTCTGCCTCGATTTTCACATTCTGAGCAGCAATAGCAGTGATAACAGGCAGGTATTAGGCAATGAGGCCACTTCTGCAAGACATTCATATTCCAAGCTCCCTGCTTTGCTGATGTTTTCAAATGCAAATGAGAAATTTCTTCCACTACAACACTGACGACTTCTCTCATCTTTCAGCTGGCTTTTCTTCCTTCTTCTCTCTGTGTTGCTACTGTGTTGTTGGGGGCTTTTTTATTTAACTCTACTTTCTTTATTCTCCTCCCCTTTAAACTTGTTTTCCTCTCTCTCATCACAAACCCCGCCCTGTAATTCCTCATATTGGCTCACTCATCTCTTTGCTTCTGATCTTCACATCCTCACATGAAACTGGAAACTCCACAGCCAGACTTCACAACACCATTGTGCTTTGATGCCTTAGACCCCCTATCTTCCTATCAAAACCACCTGCCTCTCCAGTTTACAATCTTGTATGGCCTTTTTTATTTTATTTTTAATCTTCTCACATCTTCTCTTCGTTCTGTTTCTTTTTCTCTCTAGGACCGTGCTATTTCTTTCAAGAGCTAATTGAAAAAATATGCTACTGACTCCAGTCCTTTAGATTTGTTTTTCCTTTCCTATCCTACAGCTGCCTTCTGCCTTTTTCAGTGCCATAAGTGCACTCACATTTGTCCCACAAGCTTTCTCTCATCTTGTCTGCCTTGCAATCTTTTATTGTTTTCCTCAGCTACTCTGGCTCCTCACAGTAAGATACGTTTTCGTTATCTCTGATGTTAAAAACTCTCCTCCTCCCCCTTCTCCGCACTTATTTCCATTACTTTTATCTCAGGTCTTTGAATGAACTCTTCATTTGCTCTCTGACGTTTCGCTAGTCTACTACTTTGGGCATAAGGACTCCATATCTTCTTCTGGGGATTGTATCTGACTATATTAACCTCTTGATTATTATCTCACACTTCGATTTTAAGTTTTTTTGCAGTAGAGGCCATGCTTTTGACCTGGGTTTGCAAAGAACTGAGCATGATGGAGTTCCATTCCTTTGCTATAGTTCAGCGCTTCGACAGTAATACAAATAACAAATAATGGTAGAATAATGAATTTAATACTTTAGTACTGCCATCTATGGGCTATCTTTGATCACGGCATCCCAAATTTGACTAATTTTGAACTTGTTTCATCTGCTGCTACTGAAATTGAATGTATTACAGTAAGCATCCAATTTACACTCATGGCACTGAAAATATCAGAAATCTTCATGTTATTTTAAAAATAACGTATTTGTCTTCTTCCAAATACAAGATGTATGCCTTTTGCTTTATATTTTGCTTTATAAAGTTACATATTGAGGTTGAGAAAATCAGGGGATTCCAGAATCAATTTGCCTACATTACCTGAATGATGTGTATGTTTGGTAGTATATTTTACTCATGTGTATGTTTGGTAGTATATTTTACTCATACATAAGAAACATGCAGTAATTAGAATAAAGCATGTCTATACATGCAAAAAGGAAACGGGGATGAAAAAGACTGATCTAAATGTGTGTGTGATACTCTCCCTGACTACTCTTGCAGCCTCCAGCTCTTTTTGGAAAGTCCTGACCCAGAGTGAGATTGTATTTAATATCATAAGTAGGGTTTTTCATGAGAACATTCAGTTTCTCCTTGAAATTATATGTAAAAAGCTTCGTGATATTTTTTCTTTATCTGTTCTTCACTATTTTCTCTTTTTAAAATTTCCTCTCTTTCATTGTTTGGTGTTTCTTTACTTTGCTTCTGTGATATAGTCAAGCTTATTAGAGTTGGGTTTACTGATTTATGATTAATATTCTGTGGTTGAAACAACTTGCTCTTTACATTTCCTGTTGTATTCCATCCTAGGCAGTGGCAGGATTAGTTACCTTCTTAGTACAGCAGCCCATATGTGACAGCAAACTGTGGAAATCTATCCATGTGTGAAGTCCAATTAATTTAATACATAGATGTGTTTTAAAAATTTTTTGAAAGGAAGAGTAGATACAAGTATCCAAAGAAGAAACTGCACTCAGCGTTTCAGTCATTAATCCAATTTACTGCCATGTGCTGAAATATTACCCAGAATTCTAGGAAAAGCAGAAGTGGATTATGAGTTCAAGGATGGAGCACTAATTGAATTTTTAATTGAAATGACTCATGTAAGCAGAGCAGGGACCTGGATTGCCCCTCAGAATGTGAAAGTCTTCCCAAACGGTATCCTGACATGGATGTCACACTAAAAGCCTGACTTCTGAACATCTAAAAGAAAAGGTAAATGTCAGAGGAAAAGTAAAGGTCTCCATCTGCAAGTGAAATGCATTTTTCTATACTACAAGGCAGGATGTATTGGTTTGTTTCTCACTTATTTTGTCTCAACAAAAATTACTCACGCTAGGCACAAAGTTTACTAAAGTACTTAAATTTACAGGGCTTAGCTGATGTATGTGCCTCACATAAAATCTCTGCAAAGGCATTAATTTTGCTTATCCTGACACTTAAATAAGGAAAAAGCTATTAATAGATGGATTAATCGACATTTCTGAAAATGAAACAAGCCAAAAATAGGAATCCCCAGTTATAATGACTGCAAGTTAAATAGCAGGTGAATTTTCACTCATTATTATGAAAAATGTTTTCTTTTGACCTGTGTACTGACTCTGTTATTTTTTAAAGAGGATGTTTATCATATTTTGCTGCATTACAAAAAACAACATTTATATTATTGCTATATTTTTGATGCTTTTGACTTCCTTGGTCACTAGGGGACTTTCACAACCCTGGTTATTCATTTTAGTGGTTTATAATTGAACCATAAACATATACTTGGCAATGAAATTTGGAACAGAATAAGCAAAGAAAATATTTAGTTATCCTTCATTTCTGCTACTTGTAAGTGACTAGAAGATAGAAAGAATATTTACCATGTTTTTAGTCTTACAAATAAACAGAGATTTGCATCTGACTGCCACTACACATGCAACTTTAAGAGTCTACACATACTTGCAAAGTATGATTCACTAGTAAAGAAAATATACACATCACAGAAGAATAGTCGAGCAGTGAGAGAAGAGAATAACTTTCCAGAAACATTTGTTAAAATTTTGCCACTTAGTTGAAAAGCTATTTGAAATAATTTTTGCCTCTTTTTAATTTTCTCATTTCTGCCAGCTGTTAAATCTTTGCTCTAAGAGCCTCAAAAACTCCTCAAAGGTGCAAATAGGTCTTTGTAACAAACAGCTATTGGGCTGTCCACAGTTCTTACTACAACATAGATTGAAGTGAGGGTATCATACAGATTTTTTCACCTCCTCCTTAATTTGCTGAATTATCAAACAATATATATTTTAGGGAAAAGCATGCTCTTTCTCAGGAGCGAGCAATATATAATTTAGTTTAACATGTAGTTAAGCTGAAAACAATTGCTCTGCTCAAACTGGGGAAAATGAGTAAATTCCTAAATGCTTCAGTCTACAACCACTTACACAGGGTTTGTTCAAGACTAACTGGGATTGTTGTAAAAAATTTGTAAAAATTCCCAGTGAAAAGAAATGGAAGCAGAAATTGGATTTGTATAGGTTGTATCGAAAAGAGCTTAACAGCCAAGATCTCAAAGCTCTCTTTAGTGTTTTGGTACATTGATATTGATTGTCTTGATCATTCTGTCAAAGCTAATACAGTGCATAAACGCATCAAGTATACCCTCACGGTGCTACTTTCAGAAAACTGCCGAGACAAATACGAGTTTGATTAAACAAATTAATAAACAACAATTTTCTGTGACTTGAGTGGCATGAGTGATTACTGTCTTTGATTCTTAAAAGAAATTTCTTGTGGCTGGAAAAATGTAAGCCCAACGATAGCAGAGGATAAAACATGGGCTAAAACTATTTTTTAAAGTACTTACATGTCACTGGCAATGGAGGAGTTCCTGGACATGGACTTTGGAGAAAGGTCATAGTCACTGTCTGACCGGTAAAGGAAAGACTCCCTACGTTGACTATGGACAAAGTTTGCCTGAAGAATTAGCCCTGATCCAGGGCTTGTCATGGGATCCAAGGGACTTCGTCCCGATGATGTGCCATTGTCTACATCGAAACTGCAAAAAAAAAAAAAAAAGGATGAAAAGATTTATGTTATTGACATATGAATTTTGAAAGTAATGAACACTATTCTGACAAATTTATCACTAGGTAATTGCGTCTGTTAAACATGGGAAAATCAAAAGCCAGTCAATTCCAGAAAGAAATTCGGGAAAGGAAGAAGCTTCTATTAGAAATATGGAATACATGGGCTATATGCTTCTCTGCATGCAGGGGTGTCTATGAGCTCTGCACCTGAAGAAACATGATGTTTCATTGTTTTCTTCCTCAGGCCCCATCCTTCTTGATCTAGTATCCTCATTACCCTGCCTCCCACCCTTTAGTTCTTGAGTAGCTACCCGTCACTAATATTTCATTACTATTCAAATGTTTTAAGAGCATATTTCGTCCTTTCTCAGAGATTAGGAATAAAATGCTGGAGTATGATTAATGTGTATGTGTGTGTTTGTGCACGTTTGTATGCATTAGAGATAGTTGCTATTGTACAACTACAACAAAGAAATGACTTCTGTACTTGCTGCCAGCAGAGTAACTTCTGCGGCTACTCTTATCTTACATCTTTGAGCTATACAGCTTAGATCTAGCTCTTCTAGCTATTGCATTTGATAGAGAGGTAAACAATTGTATTGTTCCTAGGGAACCCTGCTGTCATGAGAGGCTGGGACGGGGAGAGGGAAGGAGAGGGAGGGGGAAGGTCTTTCATGTAGTCCCTGACAGTTCCACAAAGAGCTTTGGAAAGCAGAACAAAGACCTTGAATGGGACTCTGTAATCAATCAGAAGCCAGTGCCGGGGAACAGCGCTGAGATGATGTGCTCATGGCAACCTGTGTTGCTTAGCAGCCTGATAGCTGCTGTATGTACCATATGGAGTCCTTCTGGGGCACGTGGCTCAGTTTCTACTTTTAATGAGTTGCAGTACGCAATCTCAGAGGTCACATAAGAGTGGATCGGCAAGATCATATCTGCATCTGATAGGATGGAGCAGATTGTATTCAGACAGAAGTGGAAGATGATTGTTCCTTCCTTGGTTGGTCATATCTCTAAAAGCAAACAGCAATTTGAGTTTTACAGTTGGATAGTACAAAAGCTGTGTATGAGACCTTCGTTTATAACTAATTTAGCTCCTTTGCAGTTCTAATGCGAGAACTTAAGTAATGCTAAAGTGTTTAGTAATGAGAGATGAACAGAGGATCCATCACAAGATCTTTGTAAATATGGATACATGTCAGTATCATAATATGTTTTTGCAATGAACTCATATACAGTACTCATTTTGAAAACAGGACACCCACTAGTTTTCAGTTATATCCAATGACAGCTGAAGAGAAACTATTCAGTACACGTCAGCTGTTGATTAGACCTCAGCCTTGTACATGTGTCATAGCAGGTACATGCTGCTATCTGGACTAGCTTGTTTCTTGCTATTAACTACCGCTGACCTGAGCTCGTACTGTCAGCAACCGTAATGTTTCACGGAAATGACAGCATTCCCATTGCTTTTTTTCTTTTTTAAATGAACAAATATAAGAAACAGATATTGCTTATCTTGACAGATAAGCACACTGCCTGACAGGGAGTGGATCTTGGTTTCATATTTTACTTTTATTGTTTTAGCAGTTACTTTGTATGCATACGTGGAATTTCAAGCTTTCTGCTGCACTCAGACTAGATTTCATAGGACTTTCTCTTCATTTTGTACCCACTTTTCACAAACAGTGTGAATTTAGGAAAGTAAAATAATTATTTTCCAGAAAATTATTTAGAAAAAAAGAATTCAACATATCAACTTGAAGAGATGTTTTCAGAACAGCTCACTTCAAAAAATATATGCACTTCTTCCCGGATTTGTTTTCTTTTGATTACGCCCGAGTACTTCTTCTATGTCCTCAAATATCCCACTACTACAAGACATTATCTGTCTCGAATTAACTGAACTTAATCTGTGTTAATGAGTGTTCTGCCACTAGTCTGCTGGGTGATCATGGGCAGCTGAAGGCATCTCTGCATTTCAGTCTCCCTGATAATAACTTTAACTTTTTCAGGATTGTTTCAAATCTAAAAATGCATTTTGTGATCCACTCACAAAAATATTGAGAAGGGTTAGGTAGTATTAATATTAGAGTAAAACATCCTTTACAACTTATACTGCTATATGTTAATAAGTATATTGCAATTACTATTTGTTGACTACTATTATTCACTAGTAATGAATATCTTCAAGTTAGATTTCTTGAGCATATCAAGGACACAAAATACTCACAATGCCTGTGAAGTTTTTCGAACATTTATGACCTCATCATATCCAAAAATGGTAACACTCTTAATTTAAGTGTCTAAATAAAAAAATTTTTCTTCAAGGAATTGTAAGATAACACCAGATCCTAAACAATACATGCATGTTTTTTTTCAGATGAGGACAGAACTTTCACGCAATTTTAGGTCAAACAGAAGATGATTATTCTACTCCTGTGTGTAGTAATACTCACTTCTGGAATGACAGCATCATTTTAAATGTATATAAGCTTGCCTGAAAGCTCTAATGCAAAAGTTAGTGTGATAGAGAAATAAATTAAAGGAACTATAAGCAAGTCCCCCAGCAGGAAAATGCTGAGTAAGGAATACTCTTTTACATAGATTTTCTTAACAGTGGACTTCATTAGCCAACTAAATAAAAGATATTTTATTGGATTAAAGAAATATGTGGGTTTGTTTGCAGATTTGGGTTTTTCTTTTTCACCCACCCTTTGCGGAGATGATATGAATATTCTGTTACCAGCTTTGCTTCTCCCAATGAGAACCTATGGCAGGTTTCAACGAATGATTTCATTGTCAATTTCAAAAATATTTTCCTTTTTAAAAGCTTAAAATTTAAAAGCTTATTGGATAAAATTGCAGATTCATCTATTGTGTGAGGCCTTGTGACTTATACTGCTAGATAACAAGTATGCGTAAGACTTGCACAGAGCTGTTTTGACAGGAATTTTATGCTGTGATACTATCTGTCCACTAGATGGGTGTCAAAAGCAACGAAATGGATCCAGGAGTATCAGCTAGAATTTGGCTCATACTGTTCAATCAAAATGTCTTTCATGTAAATAGCTACAAGAAAAAAAACGTTCAGTGCTTCAGTCAAAGAGGAAGAGTGAATACAGCACTGGTTTGCCAAATACATATGTTTGTATAAAAAGTTCCTAAGATGCTATAGCTGTTAAGTGTTTTGTTTTGCTCTTAGTTACTAAGACTAAGACTAAGTTTGCTAACAACACTTTCAGACACAAAAGGTTATACAGAACTAAATGAAAAATGTGTTGTTACACTGCAAATAAAATGGTCTGCTGCTGTGGCTTGTATCACACGGCGTATCTGCAAGAACTAGAGCTGCTGATCACGCTGCACAAGTGAACAGAGATTCAGAACGAAGAATTGAAGACTTTCACCCAAGCTGTTTGTCTAATCTTTCTTTGTATATACTCTGAAAAACTTTAAAGTTTAAGCTACAGAATGGGACAGATTCTTCATTTTGCCTGGGCAGAGACTGCAGAGTGTCAGTCGTGGTTGTTTCATATTTATCCTCCCACTCCTGTTAAGCTTTAAGCTACAGTGGGGAATATGCTGTGAATTTAAAAGACCAGGTTCAGTGACAAACTGAAAGTAGCGAATCTTTGTGCTATTCTCTCCCTCCTGTGCTCCTCTGCCTCCTTACACTTCTGGTGGAGGGTACTCTTTTGAAAGGAAGAAGTAGTATAGAAGTTGTTACTGAAGGCACAAGAACTGTTACCAGGACAAGAAGCAGTAACATCACAAAAAACATTTAGGAACATTATTAATTATTTGCTTAAGGTGACACAGGGAACCTGTAGCAAAGCCAGGAAAGGTTCTAGTTCTCCTGGCTCCTACATCTTAGAAGCACTGCTTCATTGGTAGCACCACATAACATCTTTGCCTAATGAAAGAAAACCTCTGAGGAATTCCTTTTAAGTCATTAAGTAACTCTCTCCTAATTTCTGCCAGGTTGCTAAATGAAGAAAGCAGATCTTTGTACGAAATATCACATATAGTTATGTAAGAAGTAATAGTATGATAATGAATGTGCACAGGAGCTCATAAGTAAGGCCGCACAGAAAATCTTAATGTTGGTCTTCCTTATTACTGAGAGCTTAGCAACTTAACCCTCTTTTTAGTGTAGTTTTAGGAGGATTTTTTGTAGAGAGTTTAACAACAATAAAAAAGTAAAAGAAATAAATTCCTCTTAAAAATGAATTCAGAAATTTACAATTTATAAGACGCACCTTGCACTCCTGATATTAGATTCCATTACAAGTCTCTCCCTACCCTCGACCTCTCTGATCTTGGACGTTAAAGGGGCAGAGATAGGTAGGAGCCAGACTAATTGATCCTCTAGGGATACCTCATCTTTTAAGGCCATCTTTAAACATTATAGAGTGCCAAGCAAGATCTAGAGAAGTAAATTCTGTCTCCTGTCACAGGAATCTTGTCCTAGTGTCAAGCAATCTCTCCAGCCACACAACAACCTGCCTACCCATCTTACTTTCTGTTACTTCCCACATGTCCTGTTCTGTATTTTTACGAGGAAGCACAATCCCACCACCAGACGGAATGGATACATATTGCATGGCAGCTGTCATTCACTTAAGTTATCGTAGAAGTGCCATTCAGTAGTAACTTCCTTTGGACAGACCTTCCTTTATAGCAACAAACAAGGCAGTAAAACTTTCTTTACCTCTCCAAAAAAGGGGTAAATAGCATATAAAAGGGTTTATAGCATGAGCTCCAGGTCAGGAGCACGCAGATAGGCATCTACTGTGGAGGAGGTGGCCTGTGGCTACTGGAGAAATGGGAGGGGCAGATGGGCCCCTGAACTGCAGAATCCTAACTCGCTCCTTAGATTGCTTGTGGCGCTCTGCCTGCACTGTGGGCGCACACAGCAGGATAAGCCCTGCTTGCTTGCTTGATATTATGGGACTGAGAACAGTAG